GTTTGTTTGCTATTTATTTCAAATATTTCAATATTAATTTGAGAACCCGTTTTTTTCCCCTTTAACAGCAAAGGAGGATGTTGGTTTCCAATCCCCGAAATCAGGTAAATTGAGGGGTTTGTTTATGTTACGACTTTGGTTATGTTTATTCTAAAACAATACATTTGAAGAACCTAATTATGTGTTCTGACTTTGCTATTTGCATTTCTCTGTTATGAGTTTGCAAGTTGAATTTCAATATGTTCGTTTTGGATTTCTACATTTTAGCGGTTTTGTTCAAATAATAAATTTTTTTATTTTATATTTTTTGGTACTTTGAAGAACCCATTTATTCGTTTTTCATTTGCAAAAACTCATTTACTGAAAATTTTGATTTGCACGTAGTTGGGTTAATATTGCATAAGGCAGCCTATTTTGAAGTTCATAAGACAGGCTTTTGTTTGTATAAAATAAAAAAAATAAAAAAAAAAAAACAAAAACAAAAAAAATTGTAAATTGAAATTACAATAACCAACTATGGGCTGCATTTTAAAGTTGCACATAGCATATTTGAGGAGTTTCGTTAGTGGTAGTTTCAATCAACGTTTGTTTATTATGAGTTTGCACTTAGTAGTTTTGTTGTTATGATTTCGTACTTAGTATTGTTGTTGTTTTTTGTTATGAGTTTGCATCTTGGAATTCAAAGCGTACATTTGTTGTTCAATATCGTATAATTATTTTTTTTACATTAACCAGTCGCGGGAAAGAAACGGAACACGCCTTTAAATGCCGGTTCAACATCGTCAAAAAAAGTGAAGACAAAATCAACAGCACCTAGCTTGAGGGCACCAGTTAAGCAGGAAATAGAACCAGCAGTTCCAAATCTGAAATATCGTGCAACACTCGTTTATGTTGTTCGCTTCTTCAAAAAATATAATTTCAATGAACGCCACGTTGAATGTGTTCAAAGGACCACGTTGAATGTTTTCATGCATTTTCATTGAAATTTCAAGTACATATGATTTTTGTACTAATGATCTTATTTATTTATCATAGTATTGGCTCGCCGAGAGGTCATCGTTGGTACTACCTAAATCTGTCAATGCTTTTCCAATATAATTTGCAGTATATAATTGCAAACAACAATTTACGTGTAGGATATGCATTATGCATTGTCTATATTTAATTATAAACAACAAACTACGTATATTTAATTACAAACAACAAACTGAACAATATAATATGCATAATCTATATGCAAACAATAACAATTAAAAAAAATGTGATATTACAAATTGCAGTTTGCAGTTTTCTATTCATCTTTTTAATTTATTTTGCAATTCAATTTCTTCTTGGTATTTATTGAATGAAAATCAATTAGAAAATATAAAAAAAAAATCACTTAAAAAATTAAAATTGAAAGAGATACAGTAAGAGGAGAAAGAGAAGAGGGGAGAGGGAGAGAGAAAGAGGGGGCGTGTATTTAGGGAGGGGGGGAGAGAATGAGTAGGAGAGAGAGAGAAAGAAGGGGCACGTGAGAGTGATTGAGAGAAGAAGAGTAATAAGTGGAATTTGTTAACCACTTTCATATAAAATTAATTGTTAATTGAGGAGGGGTTTTTTGTCTATACACTAATAATTAAATTTAATTTATATTAATTTTATTGGGCAAAGGACTTATGCCTATATTCATCTAATAGAATGGACCTCCACCTATAATGAGTGTACGGACTTATGCCTATATTCATCTAGCCAATTTCAACCCCAATTTGAAATGGGTTGAGATCATGGGGTTCTAACTTCTACCATGAGGATTTAGTGGGGGTTAGAGTGGAAAAGGAAAATCCGAAAGAAAAAAAATACAAAACTGCAAGGAAAAAATGGAAAAAAAAAAAGGAAAAAGAAAAAGAAAAAAGTAAATGAAAAATGAGTGTACGGATTGTAGAATTGCATGAATATAAGAAATTAGTTGGAATGGAATTATCCCACTACCCAAAAGAATATGAAACTGATGATGTTAAAAATAGATCACCTTAGATTGTTGAGATCGAGGGAGTTGGGAGAACAAAGTGGATCACTGCTCACATGCTAGATGGCCCTGAGAAACCTGCGAACAAAGAACACGTGAACTAGGTCGGGGGTTGATCCGGCCGAAACACATCCGACCCTCAAGTCAGACGTGCGGATTGTGGAAATAGTTGAGAGAATACAAATTATCGTATTACACAAATAATAGGGCGTACCTTTAATAAATGAATTCTGTCGTTATTTATACCTTGTCGATTGGGCTGTGGTTAATTTATTGGGCCAAACCTTATTTGAAGGTAATTGGGCTTTCGTAATAGTATGCTTCTAGATCGGGCTCGTGGCCCAGTACGTAGAGAAATAATAGGCTAATTGGGCTGGCCCAATTAGGCATATCAAAATAAAAATTATTTTAGTTCAAATTAACAAAAATTGAAGAGACATCAAAACACTCAAAAATCAACAAACACTAAGAGATCGAGAGATAGAGAGAGAGGCCATAGCTGCGAAATGCTCCGAATTTTAGACCAACCCGCCAATGTTTCCTCACCCCTAATGCCTCCTACCAAAACCCTAGTCGTCGCTAACTACCCAAGATTCCGCGCTCACAAATGAAAAAAATTATAGAAATAAATCTGACAATAAAAAAATGAACGAAATTACCATCAAAATATAGATCTCGACGAGAGGAATCCAACGGTGGGTAGTCCATCAAATTCCGACTGCCAGAACACAAATAACAGAACTGAAATGTTAAATCCCACACTAATTTTTCCAAATCATGTACATAACTAAAAATAGTTATCTCTCTAAAATCTTCTCTTCTCTTTCCCCACCCTTCTTCTTTTTCCCTAATTTTTTTTACAAAATCATACACTAAAAACGTCCCTACCATTTCAAGTTCGAATTTGACAAAAATCTTCACATGCTCAAACTAAAATAAAGTAGGAGCGTGAGGAAAAAATTGAATTCATATGAATTTGAATAATTAAACAGGCTTAATAAAATCGAATAAATATTGATTAATACTGAACTCATTTTTTATGATTATTCATGTAATAAAAATAATGAATTTTGAGTGACTTGGATAAAAATATCTTAGAGTGAAGTTAGAGATAATATGAGTAGAGAGAGATTTTTTTTTTATTTATGTGTAGGATTTAGTAAATATTAGTGTGGGATTTAGCACGCCCAATAAGAGAAATACGCACGGACTGCAAAACCCACCCTCATCGAAATACGCACGGAGTTCAAACAATTGCAGAAACAGATTGAGTACTCCAAACTGAATGAAATCACCACCAAAAGAAAGAGCTCGAGGAGAGTAATCCAACGGTAGTTAAACCATCGAATTTCGACCACCGGGGAGAGAGAGCTATGACTCCGAGAAGCAACTTCGCCGGTTGGAGATCTATGGGGGCGGGATTTGAATATGAGAGTTGGTAGAGGAAGAGAAAGACGATTGTGAATGACTAGAGTTTAAAACTGGTTTTAAAAGGGCATTTTAGGTACTTCAGGGTGGCCTAGGGGGTATGTCAAATTATTATCGATATAGAGGGGTTTTGCACTAGTGAGTACTCTGCATGATAGTTAGTCATATATAATTTCGAAATAAGGGGGGTCTCCAAAATAATCCCTTATTAAATTATTCATTGTCATATTCACTATTATTAATATTAAAAATCTCCCCTAATAACAAATGCATATATTTTAATTTTGAAAAATGTAAAGAATTAAGGTTCAAACTCGTGTAATTTAAAGAAAGATTGAATTATGAATTTTTCTTAAGTTTAAAATTTGAATTTTGAATTTTGAATTTTGAATTTAAAATTTTGAAAAATCTCTCAACTATTATTTTCATTTATAAATACCCACATCCGAATTTTCACCAATTTCACAACCTATATTTTATTTAGTTTATTTCTCAAAATCTTAATCGTTTCAATTTCTCTAAAAACGTCAGTAAAAAAATATTCTACTACTCATTTTGACAAAATACAACTCGCATCCGGAGAAATGCAAATATCGCACGGTAATTACTTTTATTCATGTTTTATTTTCTAAATTATTTATTGCGTACTAATATTTTTTTGTTTTTTGGTAGAAATGTTACAGTTTTGAATTCACAATTGATTATGGTTCATTACTACAGCATCCGATTGAATTCGACTCCCCTCAAATCAAACGCCACCGCGACCAAAGACATATTTAAATATATCGATATTCAACTAATCATGTTTCGATCATTAGACGACACACGCGTAATACGTGTAAAAAAAATGTTTCAGTTTAAAGGTGGATGTTTTTTTCAAAAATAATTTGAAGTTAAAAATTGTTTAGTTTTAAATTCAACTTTTTTTTATAATTTTGAATTCAAAAGATAGCTCAAGTTTTTTTAAGTTTCAATTTACCTTTTTTTTGTCTTTATTCTAATTCTTTAAAAAAACAGATTGAAAAACCGGTTTGGACACCCGACCCGGACCCGGGTGGACCCGCCTCCCCACGGGTCAGTTTTTGGGTCCCCTAAAAGTTGGACCCGGACCCAGACCCAACCCGTGGCCATGTCTACTCACTGTGATGTGGTTCTCCCGTATCTTTAAGAAAAATGTTTTCCCAAGTTAACCTGACGTTCCTTTATGGTTCATTTGGATGGAATGATTTGGATTGATGGATTTGATCCTCACCGCTCATTTTTAGTTGTTTTTGGAGCAATTCGAAAGAAATAAAATGGGCACGACTAAAAAAATAATCACTAGGCAGGTGAGGATGTTACCAACATTCATGTAAAACAAACAAATGCATCTCATTACTAAATATATCCGTTTTTGGATGGTAATTGACCATCATTAAATAGCAAACCATATTTAGTTGAAGAAAAACAAATCTTACATATATCATATATTTATTCTTTTTCATATATTCCCCAACCCTCTCCTGAATGTTGAATCTATTCCAATCAACTATTTCTGAAATTTAATCATCTGGCACAAATAAGATACGAGGTTTTAACATCCATTAAATAGCAAACCACCACCATGTCTGTGAACTAGCAATAAACAACATTGGGAAAGAGATTACAGATAATAAAAAGCATCTCTTTGTCCCTATTTACCAAACCAAGCCTTGGTCTCATTATATCCTTTATTCAATACATAATAATAAAAGACGGAAACGGAAACGCGCAAATCGTACTTGCAATCTTTAAGTAGACCAACCACCTCTCTGAGAAGTTCCAGAAGAGTGTCCATTCAACCTGTCAAGAACGGAATTGAAATCAATAGTCTGACCACTCTCTTCCATCCTCTGAATTATACCAACAACATGGTCAGTCCGGTAACCCATTGCCACCAACTTATCAATCAGCTCATTGTACGGATGGCTACGCATACTAGACTGGGGAACAACCATGTTAGGGGGACCAGGCATACGCTGCGGGCCCGGAGGATAAGCACCAACAACACCTTGTTGGAAGTGAGACTGTGGGCCCGGTGGATGATGTGGGCCCCTCCCTCCTTCACCATCGTAAACCATGTAAGAATTTCCAGCTGGACGAGGTTGCCCACTAGGAGCATAGCCGTCACCTGCAGTTTGTCTGAGATGCTGTGGTGGTGGTGTCTGAATTGGTCGATTACTAGTGTATCCATACGGTATAGCTGCTTCAGAAGAAGGCTGTTGCTGTGAAGCTCCAACGAAAGAGACTTGCATAGGCATGCTATTATTATTAGTAGGAGGCATATCTGCTGGTGCAGGAGGCTGATTTGATGACTGATTAGGAGGAGGCATATTCATATAGGATGAATAAACAAGTTGAGATGGCTGCTGTTGCTGTAGCTGCTGAGGCCAACGCTGCTGATACGATGGAGGTAATGACTGGTTCTGGTTCACCTGAGGTGGCTGTTGTGATTGAACTTGATATTGTTGAGTCTGGAGTTGTTGGGGTGGGCCCGTCGTAATATTGGTCATTTGAGGGGGAGGCATGTAGTATCCCTGTACTTGTGGTGGCATACTCTGTGTTGATGATGGGGGTGGTGCCATAGCCATTGTAGGCTGCTGATGCTCAAGTGGGCGAGCGGGGAGTGAGGGCTGTGGAGCTACTTGGTGGGGCAGAGCAAGTGCCAACTGCTGGGAATCTGATGTGTTGTCTCCTTTTTTCGCTTCAGAATTGGGTGTTGATGCTCTATCCTCGTTTTGTTGAGTATTGGTAGCTGAACCAGATTCCTTTTGTGCAAGGTGAAGCTTCGCTAGCTCCTTTTGAGTATCTGCAAGTTCCTGCTTATCTCTTAGGATCTGCACTGACCTGTGAACCTTCATTTTTAAACAAATTGGAATAATTAGTTTTACAATGCGATCCACTAATAAAACCACAAACATAAAAACAACTCTTCTTATAACTTTGAGTTTATATAGCTAACAATCAACATGAGTAGACAAAATAATGATATGGAGACACGTTAGGGTCAATGTAATGGAACTAAGACACTAAAATGAACAGATGCATTTACAGTTGAAGTTCCATGAAATATATAAACAGCATATCAAAATTCAATAACAGAACTTGCTGCTCCATTTTCTTCACCATCCAGAAAATGAGAATCGGACGACAGTAGTACAAACAATAAATAAGACAACTCAATCATCAAAATATAGGGCCCCTGAAATTTGGTAGTAATAAACATTTCTTAAATTTAATTAGAGACAGACCTCTTGGATATGCTTATCTAGAGATTTAAGCTTTGATTCTGACTCTCCATGATCACGAACTAAGTCAGAACGCATTTCTCCAATTGATTTGTCAAGATTATAACAGTATAATTCCAACTGTGACAGCCGTGAGCTAATCCCCTCAAGAAAGCGCATCAGATTGTCAGTGTGCTTCTTCATGGTGTTTTCCACCGTTGAGATAACACCTTGATTAAATGAAGATTCTTCTGGGGTACCATAAGTGGGTGCCGGAAAAACAGATGATCTTGCCATTCTGCTTTTGTTGAACTCCTGCTCAATTCAAATGAGGGACCCGTTAATTCTTGATAAATTCTAATGCACGGTAAATTAATAGCAGCCAAAAACAAGTCCAATGACTGAAAATAAGCAACCAAAAATTACAATAGAGCTAGCTACAAATCAAACATGTTTCAACCAAGAAAAGAGAAAAAATAAAGATCCAAAAGTTCAAACTCTTGACTATGAATAGCTGGGCCTTTTCATCTGCGTTTTTCAGTTTACTGCATAAATCTTTTGATCAAAGAGAAACAAACTGAAAGACACTGCTCCCATTTTATCTTTCTTCCCAGTAAAATACGCGAAGGCTACTTCAGAATAATAATTGTTAGCCATAAAAATGTCTATCTCAAATAAATGTCCAAGGAAACATCCAATGAAAATAATGAGAACTGGCACATTGCATCCTTTAACAAAGTACATACATCATTAGATTAGATCAAAATAGATACATTTCGGCCAGCAATTTTCTACAATAATCCAGATAGACATAATGATAGCACACATTATCCGTTAAATAAATAATAAACTATACACAATTAGAGGTAATGCAACATAACATCCTATGCTTTAATCCCTACTTTATCCAGTTTGGAGAACGAATCTGGATTATGATATATGAATCTATAAACGGTCTTAAACACTCTATACTTTTACATTCATATCAATATAAATGTCATTGATTGGGACTCATTCCCTAGACCTCATTCTCTTCTCCCAGCCGTTTTGTTTCAACATTTGCTGGGACCAATTTTAATTACATTCTAACAATTTCATTAACTAGCCATCTAAAAGTGTTATGAACGAGAAGGTACTACATCAGAAACAGAGTAAAAAGATGCCACTAATATACAGAATAAGACATATAAACTTGGCATATGGACTAGATACAGTGGCTTGTTCCCATCAAATTCAGTCACCTATATTCTTACCATACCAGTTCTCCAAGGTGATACAACAGATTCCCTCAAATCGCAGAAATCAACTAAAGAAACCAAAACATCTAATAATTTGAAGATAGAATTTTCGCAGTTGAAATCGTCGTTTTCTCACTAATAATCGAAAAATAATTAAATACAGTTCAACATATATCCGGTTAAAATACTGGACCGATATCAATCTCTTGAACACACAAAAGTCAACACCTTTAGCCAAAAATCAAACAATAACATTCTGATTCATACAGAATAGGAACAAACGAAAATCCAAAACCACAAAAGACGATAGAAAATAAAATTAATACGGTAAAAAAAAAACCCTAATTTTCAAAAACCTAGAAAACGAAAAGAAACACAAATACCTTGCCGGAGTTAGCCGAGCTGGGAGGATCGGAATGGATTCCATTATTCCCATCCTGATTGCCGTAATCCTCGTAGGAGCAGAGAATATCATCGGATCCGAAATCGAACGCGTTCGAACCCGAATTGTTGACCCGCCCCGAAGACCCCGATGCCATAATAATTGCTTATAGATTTAGATAGAGATTACAGATGTCAGATAGACTATATATATATATATATATAGATATAGAGAGAGAGAGAGAGAGAGAGAGAGAGAGAGAGTATATATATATAGAATAGATATATAGTTTGCTTAGCTTGTGAGCAATTGAAAACGAAGGATGGTAGGGTTGAATAATACTAGTAGTTTCTGTTTCCGCGAGTGAGTTTATATCGTGTATTTTATGCTTCTGGGCCAAGTTTAGAAACGTTTTTAATTGAAACTCGTGTGTCACATCAAAACCGCACCGACTTTTATTGATTTTAAAACAATTCCTTCTTCTTAATTAATTTATCTTAGCCCGGCAAGCGTGACTCGGTCCAACAAATAAATGTCATTCATTCTTAGATTGGGGTTTCCTATTATTTTTTTGGGAAAATTAGTTAGTACCCCTCTTTTAGAAAAATTATGTGAAATAGATCTCTTCCAAATAATAATAATTTGAGCAAATTCATTTGTCTAAAATATAGCATTTCTCACACATTTAAATTGCTTAATACATCATTCCAAATCCTAATTTGTTTTTCTCTCTTCATCATTCTCCCCCGTCTTCTCTTTTCTCCTTTTTTTCTCTCCTTTTTTTTTCTCACACTGTCAGAATACGACGCCAGAACACCCGACGAATCAGAAGGCGTCGGCGGAGAGGCCAATTATAGAAGGCGTCTTTCCATATCTTTGCGGGGTTTGGTGGTGGCGTAGACGTTGGTCTAGATGGCGGTGCATACTTTTGGAGGAAGTGGTCGTGGTCGTGGTGGTGACGCTGATGGCAATGGTGTAGGTGTGGGGCCGAGTAGTGTTAAAAAGGCTGGTGGCGGAGCAAATGGTGGTAGATCTAGGGTTTTGTGCTAGATTAAGTTGAGGACATTGCCGACGAAGGTGGGGTGATGATGGTGTGGTGTGGCTACGGTGTGGTGACGATGGAGAGGTAAATCTAGGGTCTTTTGGGTAGATCGGCGGAGGACGGCGTGGCGGAGAAAATTTGCGTAGGTTGGACCCGTAATCGAGTATTTAAGGTTTATTCGACTATGTTCAATTATTAATTATGTGGGCGAAATACAATGCAATTGAATCAAAAGGGGAGAACAGTCAGTATTTGATGTGTGTAAGGTGTGGACATGAATAACATGATTAGTAAAATAAATATTGTTGCGCGTTCAAGTTAATTGATAAGAAGTTAAATAGGTGATGGATTATAGCTACTGACTGTTAGTGATGATAATTATAACCATTGATGGATGATTGAGTAGATTATGAAGCCGCGCGAGCGCACCTCGTACAATACATTGAGGTAAGTTTTCTCTTCCTTGGACGCAATGGCAGTACAACAGAAGGGAGGGGGTATAGACCCCCCAAGATTTTATTTTTTTTATAGATATTTTACACTTATACTTTTTGAATATTAGTTTTAACCCCTCAAAGTTTTTGTAAAAATATATCTTAATTCTTTATTTTTATATTTTTTCTCTTTAATCTTATATAAATTATAGATATAAAAATCACATCTAATATAACAATATAAGATAAAATGGTCACAACTTTTACTATTTTAAGTAAAATTTATGAATATTTACTTCTTTTTTTAAACCAAAATATCAAGCGTAATTCATTATTAGAATCATTTGAATTAATTAAATTTTATTTTTTGCATGTATGAAATATAATAAGATTATAATATATAAAAGTTAGCAATATAAACTTATTTAGCAATGTCTTGAGACCCTACTTTTTTTTTTAGGTCGCTGCCCTCGAACCCTGAAAATTTTAGCTTGCCCCTCCTACATGTTGATCCCGATTTCACCCCTACTTGGACGCGCTCGCGCCATGCGAACACGTTTGTCTGCCCCAATTTTTGGATTTTTCAAACGAGAAAAAAGCTCCGGAGAACCCTTGCACTAACCCACACTTCCCGTAGAACCATAGAACCCCTATCCCTGCCCCCTCAGTTCCACCACTCCCCATCAGAATTTCGCCGGCGTCTATTACCGCCGCAACCCCCACACACCGGAGCGCATGTTAGTGTTCTTTCTCCGTAGTACGACTACGAGATATGGAAAATGGATATGAAGATCACCTTCCTCAATGGTGAGATTGAGGAAATTAGAGTGGTGCAGCCGAAAGGCTTCGTATCTTTTGGAGATTAGCAAACGGTTTGCAAAATTCCAGCGATCCATTTATGGATTGAACCTAGCATCCCATAAATTAGAATGTTCGGTTCAACACAAAAATCAAGCAACTGATTTAGTAAAGAATTCGAAAGAGCCTTAGGTTTACAAGGAGGTTAGTGGGAGTGCCCTGACATTTCCCAGTACTTTGTGTTGATAGCATCCTACTCATTGGGATTGTTGTAGTGATGTTGCAGTCAACTAAAGCACGATTTTCCACACATTTATCAATAAATTAATTTGGGATAAGCTTCCTACATATTAGAGGATATGTATCTATAGAGATAAACAGAAAAGATCGCTTAGTTACCCCAATTCAAATTATAGACATGATATAATGTATGCAGTGAAGCGTCACTGTAGATATCAGTCTAACCGCAACCAAGTTAGTTGGATAACTATGAAACAAATTCATAAATACTTGTGAAGTTCTAAGAACTTGTTCATTTATAGTCTATGGAGATTCCAAGTTGAAAATAAAGTCGTTCGACGATTTTAGTATTTTAAACGGAAGTGGACGACTCAAAAGGGACGTCGGGATTTATATTCATGCTTATTAACAAAGTGTCGTATGAGTTCCAAGTGAAACATAACTGTGGTCCACCTTCGAAGTTTAATATATTGCGGCATTAGATGACGCAAATGTAGCAGTTTGGATTCGAAATTACATTCAAGTGATAAATGTTTCTAAAGGTCTCATCAGAAATCCAAGCATATACTGAATCATAATTATCTCATTGGTAAGATAATTAATAGAGGCGAACTTTAGTTCGAGAGAGTTGCCTCGGTAGACAAGATTTTAAATCCCTTTATTTAGCGGTTACCCAGACCGGTCCATGAGAAACATCGAAAGTCGATGGGACTTAAGTATTGAATAGTTGGCTTTAAGCCAAGTGGGAGATTGTTAGAGTAGGTGACCGAAGAGCCAACTAATTGTTGTTTTTTTCTCACGCTACTCGTAAATAATCTATTTCGTATTAAATGATAAATACCCCCTTTGGCATTCTATGTATTTGCCCTTACACTAAGTGTTATTATAATTACTTATAATTGATCTAGTACAATCATGAGATATTTATTTAAGTAATATAATTGTTAAACCATGCTCCTAGTCAACCAGTTACACCATCAATGAGGATATCGGCCTTTCCCATTCGAGACTAGCACTTAGTGTATGTATATTGTGCCTCATCAGTCAATGGTGTTGTGATGTCAGCATACATAAGTGGGTGCTCATAAGTTGATGAGTTCACTGAACTCCTTCAATATAGAGATCTTTAAGTGGTTCCCAATAATCGAGTAGAGGTTTCTATGATATAGTTGTACACCATTAATCCTTAAGACCCAGACATCATCGTGACTTCACTAGAAGACCTGCTGTATCCTGACCTGTCCTTGAGTCCCACCGAGGACCGCTCCAAGGGCCACTGTTCGTGCAACCCGAAATTAGAGTGAGGTATTTGCATTGTAGTGGGGGATTCGATCGTTTGATCAGTCATGGATATCATGTGTGTTATTAGGATTTATAATCCATGAAGTTTGTGGCCACAACTGAAAGTGTCGTGATTAGAGAAATGTGTTTCTCTAAGTAAAACACGAACGAATTATATAATCAAGAACGTCCACGGAGTTATTGAACTCATAAAGAGGTCTCGGTGAACCAATGCCTCTAGTTCAAACGGGATATATGTATTTAAGAGATCGTATTGTACGTGAATTATATCACACGGTTCTTGCAGGCACTTCATTTGTATCTAGGGAATCATGATGCGTAGTTGCTAGGTGTCATTATTGGTTCGTTAGCAATTAAGTTGAAACTAGCTTCATCTTAATTATAACTTTAGGGATGAGTTTAAACCACAATGTATTGTGGGCCTACGGCTAGCTTACACCTGAACCATCAAGGGTCACATTACTCGTGTTCTTGAGATCATTAAATGCAACAAGCTAAAGTTAATTAATTAATAAGTCTTTGTGTGATTGGAAGTTAATATGATTGAGTCCAACATTCGTTAGTTTTAATTACGGGCGAGAATAAGTAGAGGAAAATAATTCAACGGAAATTTAGTGAACTTTCTAAATTGGGAAGTTTCCCAATTTGATAGGTCCTAAATTAGGTTTTCCAATTTCGGAAATTGGAAAATTACAAAGTGGTACTCGTATCGACGAGACTTTTGTGCTCGTCGTCAATATATAATTGTTATATTTTTGTGAGCATTCGTTTGTTATAAACGAGCCGAAAAAGGGAGTGGGCTTAAGTTGTTGGGCCTAACCCAACGCACGGGGCACGATTACTAGTGTATTATAAATGAAGGAAAAATTCATGTACATGACAGAATTACTCCCAACCCTTTAAACACAATTCCTAATTGTAGCCCCAATTTTTAATTAATTTTGACTTTTTCTTTTTTAAAATTTTCTAAACTTTTTTTCTTTTTAGCCGCTTGTGTCTAGCGTTGACTTTTTTTTTTCCTTACAATTTTTTTTTTTACCCCCGCAACTTAACGTTAACTATAATTGTACTGTCACTAACAGTAATTGTATTGTCATGTCAACACAACAATATTATTATTTTGTTTTGCCTATTTTTATTTTGTTTGATTTATTGACAAGTCAGCGTAATTATATTACTGTTGTAAACATAATAATATTACTGTCAACCACATCAATATTTAATTTTTTTTGCCTTTTTGTTTTGTTTGATTTGTTAACCGATTAACGTAATAATATTACTATAAACACAATAATATTAGTGTGGCTGATGGTAATATTACTGTCGTTACAGTAATATTACTGTGGATGACAGTAATCTTACTGTCAACTACATCAATATTAATCTTTATTACACAATAATAATGATTTTTGT